CTACTGATTCTTCTACATGTTGTCGTCAAGATAATAGTTTATTATTCCATTGGTTGATTAGAGCTAGAGTACAGAAAAGAAAGTCCAAGCCAAATAATCAAACTCAAGTAACTCAAGTAAATACTCTAAATATAAGAAAACTGCAAAGCATCAATCATAGCACTTAATTCAATAAAGCCTCATATAATAGTCAAACAAAGCAATGTCCTGGTCAAACAAAAAGCCTAAAAAGAAGGAATCACTATAATAAGAATATAAAGAATAATGAAAAGATAGTTTACATACCCTGTTTAGTAAAAACAGAAAAAGGCCTGGCTTATACTTCTAATTGAAAAGAAGATATCTGTCATCCAAAAGATAACCCTAGGAATACAAGTAACTACAAAAGCCTAGATAGTAAAGAGGATAAAAACTATTTATTAAAAATAGAATATGAAGAATTGTATAGTTATTCAACTTATCAAGAAATGAATAATATAAATACTATAAAAACAAAACCTGCAAATAGTCGATTTTCTAAACTGCAGAAGAAACCAAATAAGAAAGCACTTGAGGCCCAGTGTACTGTTTGGATAGAAAAAGTCAAACAACTCTGAAATTTACCTAGTGCTACAAAATTAATAGATAAGCGAAATGTAAATTTGAATAATCAAAAAACTATAAACTACTTATCTGAAATTGATACCGATCATATAGGAGTCAAGCTTAATAAAGAAATCTTAAAACCGCTAGCAATAAAGAATTAGTTAATATTTTTGATGAATGAAAACAAAAAAGAGAAAAAAATATGATGATAATTAGATTTTCTTTTAGTATCACTGTATTATTGCTCTTATATATAATGTCAGTTAATATTGGAACAAGCTTTATGAAAAACAAATTATCACATTTTTCTAGACCAATCACAATTAGTCAGATGCCCAAGAATACTGTAAATAAACTGAAAGCATTAGTATATTATAAAAAATCAACAAAAATAGAAAATGCAAATAGAATATTTATGCTTAGCAATGGTTACCTTGATGGAAATAGGGTTGATAAGGATGAATATAAGGCAATTAACAATTATCAAATATTTGCTAATATAGACAATATCGATGGAATAGATGATA